GGTATTTACTTTGAAGACCAGTTATTTATTGCATACAAATGGCCATGATATTTGATGTAACTAAAACCATGTAGATCATGGTTATCATTTTTACAAAGTTGTCCTTCGGGCAGACAATATATTGCTTAATGTGAAACGTAGTTTTATACATTAAGCTATGGAATAGTAAGATAATATATATTATATATATATATGTTTGTTCAGTGATTTTAGAGAAAACCAGAAAAGATAGAGAGTTCGGGTTTTCGGCATTCGATAGGGCATAAAAAACCCTCCAGACAGATTTTTTATTTTCCCCATAAGTGCTCCCCATTTAATTTTTTCATTCATGGACCCTCTTTTTTGGATTCCACTTTGAAAAATATTTCGATTCCACTCACCATTTATTGAGTGGATAACGAATGGATTCGGGTGGAATTACGTTTCTCCGCAACTTTATTGGGTGGATAAACGATGGAATAAATGAGTTTTACTTCAGTGTTAATTTGATTACTTTGGATCTAGATGAAACTTGTTGAAAAAAAGTTGGAGACACCCGAGGCACCAAATTGTTTTAGATTTCTTATAAAATTACCTTTCGAATGGTATATAAATTATGGAGTTTCCGGCAGGTTTGATGGCATTTTACGCTGGCCGTTTGGCCGAAATATGAAAAATTATGAGAAAAATCGGCTTCCGAATCTTATAGCAAGCAACCTAGTTCTATGATTTTGATGAATTAATAATAGTTCTTTGCCAGATGATAGCTCTTGGAACCCTCTTTCCAACGGTATATAGCTTATTAGCCAATCGAACTTGTGGATGTGTTTCCCAGGTGGCCGTAGATTGACGCTAGTGATATATCAATGATACTATTGATAGTTCGATATGAATAACGTGCTATTGGTACATTTTGATTTTGTGACAACAACAATTTGGCTCTTCAATATTTTGCCGCAAATGTAGAATCTAAAATATCAAAATAGAGCTCTATATTTGAAGGAATACATTGAAGAGAAATAATTGTTGTTGTCACAAAATTGAAATGTACCAATAGCACGATATTCATATCGTACTATCAATAGTATCATGATATATCACTAGCGTCATTCTATTCACTGCAAATTAGTGAAAATATTTGCAAAGTCAACTTTCAAGGGGAAATTTATTGCGGCATTTTCCTCTGATTACTTTGAATTTTAACATCTGAGTTTTCTGCCTTTTTGAAGCTCAACTCCATAGGTGGCAATATATCCAAAATGAGAAAAATATAGGTAAAGTACATTTTCGAGCTTCATTGCAAGCAACCTAGTTCTATGATTTTGATTAAATTTCGCCAGATGATAGCTCCCAAAGTCCTCTTTCTAACGCTATATAGCTTATTAGCCAATCAAACTTGTGAAGAGTTTTGGAATTTCAATTTAATTATGGCATTGACAAAAACCTTAGAGAAAACCGAAATCCATGTGATGCATTTATTAGGTAGTTCTGGACGTTCTCATTTCAGTAATTGAATTGAACGATTTCACCATTTATGGATCATCAGCGCAGCTTTTAAGAAAACCATCTATATAATCTATAGGATTTACTAACTTTTTGAAGTGGGAGCGCATAGGTAGTCGTTGAGGCAATATGAGGAAAATATTGGCAAAATCAATTTTCAAGGTGTAATTTATTTTAAAAAAATTGTGGCAAAAAATTCAAAATATGAATGTCGAGTAGTTTGTTTTTCTTAGTAGTACGGTTCCACGTTTCACATTAAGCTCTACGGCCAAAAACTGGCAGTGTATTTGGATTTTGTCATCTGGATATTTCAGCTCATCTGGATGACGTATAAAAATACTACCATAACTATAACAATCACTTATATTGTTTTCACTCCATATCATCGCCTAATGTCATCCAGCCTTCGGGAAATGTTATCACTCAAACATCGAGGTATTTTCAATTATTTTGAAATGCGTAGAAATTGCACATTTTTCGTATCATTATTATTGTATTAACATTACCATGGATCGACAAGAATGATGTTGGGTACATTTCAAAATTAAGGTAGCACCACATTATTAGATGAAATGCAAAGTAATCGATGACAACTTTTCTTTCCACAAAAAATCCATCATAAATTTTCAATATCGTTCATCATTGTAAATAAAACCATATCCCTTCATACAAAGAACTAATATTCTTTTTGATTTAAAATCTTACAATCGGATGAAAATGTCCATTCAATATTTCCTTTAAAAAATAATATGTTTTAATACAAAATTTTCTTGTATTTGTTTCAATTACAAAAATAGACTTTAAAACTCAAACATATTTTTCTGTGCCAAATCGCCCATTGAACAATATCGAACAAAAAGTTTGTGAATGATAAAATAACAATAATTCTCAGGTTCTTCGTTTTGACGGTTGGTCGTCGGAATCATTACAGTTAATTTCACTTAATTTGGCCTTTAAATGCACTTGCAGTCAGTTCGCAGGTGAAAAACTGAAGAAAATTCTGTCATGATTCTGATTTCAATGGTTACACTGCAACTATTCGTGATTTTGCTGAGAGTTGAGAATTCATATTTTACTTCGTTTGTTGGTGTAAATCGATTTGTTTGTATTTTGTTAGATATTCTGGCTGCAGAGCAAAACGTTTACCTATTTCATACAGACAGATGATTACTTGCACAAAAAAGCTAACAAGTAATTGTAGAAGAGAGCCGGGCAAATCGCCCCAATTTAATCGAAATACTTTTGGATTTGCGGTCATGTTGAAAAAGTTACCAATGAAAAGCTAACGTGATTATAGGATTAATGTATTTATCGGCTTTTTACAAAGTGCTCAAGCATTTTTTTTATTGATGAAATCCCATTGAATATTTCTCCGCTATACACAGATTCTGTGTCACAGACTGCGTGCATTTTTCCCGTATTTATTCAGCAAATGTCTTTATCATTGCTGATAGGATTGATGTCCATGCGGTTGAAAAACTCAATTGCTTTTACCACGTTCGACGGTTTTCTTTCTTCTCTTTCGTTAGTATTACGGTGATTGTTGAAAATGTGGTATTTAAAAGTTTGAAAAAAAAGTGAACGAAAGAGTAAAGAAAAAGGGACCAACGTAAATGTATCGCGAACTCAATGAATTCTCAGACAAAGTATAGTACTGATGACGGGTTTTTTTTTCGCTCATGATGTTGAGTCCGCGAAGAAAAAGCGTTCAACATTAATTTCCTGGGTGACATTATTTTCAATAGAATTGAAATGATAGATGACATGAAATTATTCATAGTCATCAAAATGCAGCGCCAGCATGAGCAAAGCGACGAATGTCGGTGTTGTTTTTGCTGCCATGCCTCGAGTTACATCGTTTTTGCAGTGATATCAAAAGATGAGGTTGAGCAGAGTAGAAGGAAAGACAGTGAGTGTGACAAGAATAAGTAAAATCGCTGGAAGATTTCGAACGAAAAAGCAACGAAAAAAATATATATGATAAAATCGTTGCTTCTTGTCCCATTCGGGAGAGAAAAAAGGCGTCCGATTTAAGTGCCAGAAAAAAAACTGTAGCAACAACAAGTTGATGGGCGCGTCAACGAAATACAAAAAAAAAATTAATAATTTCCGAATGATGGGAAAAATGGGTGAAAAAAAAAGGAATTTGATGAAAGGCAACAACGAAAGAGATCGCAGTTGAATATAAAGAATTATGCAGGAATTGTTTATTGATATAAATGAAGTTTTGGCATTTACATCAAAAACGTGTTTTGTATAAATGTGTCGATTTGATACAATACACGATGGAAAGAAACTTTTTTGTTTCTTCTTCTTCTGGGGCGTTGAAATTCTTTTGTAACCATAAATTTACGTTTGTAAATAAAATACAAGTGATTTGCATTTTATTTTCACTCTCATTATTCATTCTAACTCGGGAAAATTTCGTTTTCCGTTTCTCTTTTCGCCTCGCTTTTTATGTTGTTTTGTTTTTATGTTCGTATTTTCATTTCACATGAATTTGTGCTGGCCATTAAACATGACAGCATACATTTCCTTATTAGCAACATACAAATACGCTTTCAAAGGAGTTTCTTTTCCGTCAAACTAATTAAAAAGTGTGCAAAGTGGATAAGACTCAGTTCTCCGTTCTTTTAACGAAATTACTCAAGTCCAATGAGTGGATAAGTTGATGTTTCACACTCTCGAAACCATGGTGCTAGTAACTGACAATAATTTAATACGTCCATCCGACGGACAGCATTTGGAGCGACCGTACTTTGAAGTTATTTATGTACACGTTTTAATGTCCGGAAATTGACACGAAGCCTTTTATCTATACGTGAAATTTGCTTTCTATTTGGTTTTTCTATATTTTAAATCATTTGAATGTAAAAAATATTCTTTGAATCCATCGCTGTTTAGACTTTCGGTCAAGTCTGGTAGGTTCGTTCAGGAATGATAATTTAGTTGCATGCATACTTTAAAATTGGTGTCCGTCAGAAACGCAATCCAATTTGATTTATTCGGGTGTCTCGGCGTGACCACTAAATTTGATCAATTTACTCGAATTTAATAAATTAATGGATTCGTTTTACATAAAAAACGAAATAACTGAAGGATTGAGAATATTCTAAGATATTATTTTTTTTAACGCATTGTAATGGCATAAATTGTATTCCATTACAATATTAAACAGCTTCGTCTTGATAGCCAATTTAAGTTGATTAAATATACATTACGAAAAAAAATGTGTGGTGAATTTGTCTGTATATAAATTGCCGTCTTTCTTCATATCTCAGTTCATTTCACATTTTCATCGTGATTAAGCAACAAATCGGAAAATGAAAGTGTTAAGTGGTTCTAAATCAATGTTGATCCAGACATTTCTCTATAAAAAGACCCCACGAAAACTGGGTAGTATTAAAATTCCGTATTCGATATTGAATTTATTATTTTTAACTCCAATGGTGACCAACACTTTACTATTATTTTACGGAGTTTATGTGCAATTAAAAAATGGTGGAGGTTTAAAAGAAATGTCCGGTTCATTTTACTTGGGAATCGGAACATCTTCAATAATAGTCATGTACTGGCTATTAGCAATGGATTCGAAACTAATTATCGACTTGGTTGAATTTGTGGAGAAAATTGTGAAAAAACGTAAAAAAGATTTTTAAAATGAAAATTTTGCAGATAAAAAAATGTTTGCTTTTCGATAAAACACATAGGTGCTGAACAGTCCGATGGATCTAAAAATATTTACATTGAATGCAATGATGGAAATATAAGTTTTGTTCGCAAAATGAAAATGTTTTCAATTTACGTCATAATAACAACGATTACTGTTCCAATTTTGTGTCCGATTGGAAATGCAATTTTTAAATTTCCACCGCCGAAAATGTGGTTCTTTCCATTTCCAATAGCGTGAGTGTATTATGCATGAATTTTAACCGACATGAATCGGTTTTTTTAATTTGTTTTCCGTTCCGTTACTATTTCAGGGTGTGGTGGAATACAACTCATGCCCTTGGTTATTATGTAGCACTTTTACCACAGATCGGATGTACAGCAATTTATATGATAAGCATTTCAATAATGATTACGTTTTTTAGCGGCATTTGCACCTATGTTGAAGCGTGCGTTGACGATTTGTCAACACTAATACCGCAAATGAATGAAATAACCACAAATTTTACCACAAACTGCCATAATTGGAAAAGTACATTGAAATTGCGGTATACAATTTTCGATCTGATTGAGTTGCACACGGATATTTTGAGGTAATGTGAAGCGTTCATCGAAACAATTAAAGTTGACTACTGATCTGTATGTATGTCCAAAGTGGCGCGGCTGTGACTTTTCACACTGTCTACTGAAAATCTGGCGGTGTTGGTTTGCGCATTTGTCAGTAACACCGCCACAACACTTTACACAAACTACTATACTTCACAGTGAATAATTTCTATTTCTTTTTTTTTGTTTTGATCAGAATGGGTAATTTATTTGCAGTCATAATTTCTGGGCCACTGTTCTTTCAATTACTTGTGTATGTTGTGTTTTTGGCATTGAATTTACTACAATTCGATCAGGAGGTGAGAGATTTCAGTGTGTGCTCATCCAAAATGGTTTATTGTATTCACGTTCATTTCAAAACCGTATTAGATTTCCGATTTCTCATTGGCCATGGCATTGAATATAAATGCGTTGCTTAATCAGGTTTTATTAAATTATGTCACATGCAACTACTCAACAAATGTTGCGCTAAAGGTGTGCACGGTTGCTGATGTTGCATTCGATGCACATTGGTATAGTTTTCCGGTTGCTGACCAAAAACTATTTCCGCTGCTAATACAACGCACACAAAAGCAAATTCGATTAAGTGGATACGACATTATTAACTGCTCAAGGGAGACATTCATACTTGTAGGTTTGCTAGATAATCGATATATTTGCATAAAATTCATTAGCTCAGTACAATAAACTCAATTTTTGCATTACAGTTTTTGAAATCAGCGGTATCATACTTCCTTGTATTTCGTCGACTTAGTTAGACATGCTGAAGGGTTGCATTTTTTTAAATTAGTATAAAATCATCGCCGAAAATGAGATTAAAATAATGATACATCCAGCCATAAAGAGAGAGAGAGAGAAAAAGAATACCTTCATATTATAATCTTATTTTCGCATATACTAGATGTGTCATTTGAAATGTGAGAAGGTAATATTGATGTGAATGAAAGCTCATGACAGGTGCAAAACGTATTCGTATGGAAATTAACAAAGGAACATATTCATATCACCGTAAATTCATATCGATTTATTATGGTGAATTTAAATTATTTACCGAGACGTGAGCTTGAATGATTTCTCTACCTCTTTTTTCCCCTTTCCTTTTCCGTCGCGCTTTCGCTCTCTCACTCTCTCTCCCTTATTTTCCTATTCGTGAGCGCCCATGATCATCAAACGAGTCGAATTTGAATTGCAATTACCGAATAGACACCGAAAAATAAACAACCTAATGAACAAAAACAGATATGGAAATTTATCAGCATTGACGCAATCGATGCAAAATATGCCCCGTCATCTGGAATAATTTTTTTTTTGGTACAGCGATGCGATTCAAATCGAAGACACGTAACCCATTTAATTCTGAACGTGTCACCAAGCTCATCGATGGTCGCCTACGCGATCTGAATATTCATTGTCATTTCAATAGTTAAATCTATTAAGTGTGTTGATTTAGTTTGAGTTCAGAAATTCCATTGAATCACAAATCCATATGCACACATAAGCAGTAACACACACAAAAAACACACGTACGAATCGAATGCCAGTCGTTTACATGGGATTAGCATTTAGATGCAAAATAATCCGTCACCACTAATCTTGATGACGAATAAAAGGTTGAACGCGTTTAAAGAAGCGCCACAATGGAAATGGCAAAAATGAAGAGGAAAGAAATAAAACTGATATCGGTTTTAAACTGTTGGTATTTCCTCTCTGCGAAAGAGAACAATAAATCAAAAAGCCAATCAGAATTTTTATAAAAGACGATTCGGTTTGCTTAGTTTTGTCCTGAACGCCGTTTTTTCAAACTAAACTCATCCCTTGTGGAAAAAAAAATGACTGACTGACTATAAATTAAGTCAATTTTAATCTCTTTTATTCGGTTAAAATTACCAATAGATGATTGAAATCGAATATAGTCGGTTATGTTTCAGAGTTAACTAAAAGTGATTATAGTCAACATAGTTGACAAAAGTCAATTTAATATACTTATAGTTAACCGTAGTTAACTATGATAACAATCGACATTTCTCAACTCAAATTACACGAACTCGCATATAGTCACTTATAGTTAACTTTAGCTGGCTGAAATATCAGCCATTTATGTCCCAAATTAGTCAATTTTTAGTCGACTATGAAGTCGAAATATTTCCACAAGGGATACATTTGAAATAGATTTATCCACAACTGCCACAGTCTCATGAAACATGTACGTTTCAAATCTTAGGCAATAATCTTGCACAAACTCATGTTATGTGGATGATCACCATCTATCTGAAGAGCGATTTTCCATTTAAATGGAAACGCTAACATGTATGCTCGAGAAATGCCAACGCTTGTATCTTACTTGTGATTACTCGTTTTTGTCTGAGTATTTGAAAATCATTTAGATTATTTATTATGAGAGAGTCTGGCGAGAGTTGAAAGCTTCTAGAACAAAAAATTACTTTAATTTTTCGAACAAGAATGAAAGAATAATATTTCGTAAGTCTTTGTTACTTTGTTGTTAAATTGAATATCACCATGGATGGTGGAAACTTTTAGCGCTCATTTTCTCCTTCAGTGAATAAAACATTTTTTTTTGTAGTTTGATCTTGAGTGTTTATTCTGTAGAAAAGTTTACTATTCACTTCTTCTTCTTTTTTTCTTCAATGTGTTTCAAGATAGCGTAATTTACACATCAAAATTTAACATATGAGAAAAATAAGCGGCTAAAAGAAACATTTTCGCTGACAGATTGTCGTACTGAAAGAACGGGAATATAAAATTGACTTCATTTTTACGGTGCATTTTGAGCATGTCAAAATTTTCTTTTGCTCTAAAATTGCATCGAAAGTCGGAATGCTAGGCGAAATGACGAAGAACGCCAAATACCACTCCGCCATATCGTCGTTCATTTTCTCTAACTGACTTTGACTGAGCACTTGGTTCGTTTTACTTTCATTTCACTCTCTCGTCACTCTGTCGTCATATGCATGTGTGCCCGTAAGAAACCCATAGATGATTATTAGTGTTATTATTTTGGCATTTCAACTTTGCAGCCATCGCGCATAAGTTTATTTGTCGCTCGCCAAATGTACATACCGCCGTAAATACACCGTTTATCGTGGCTCATTTAAAATCGTTTATGTGTTTGCACTTGCAAAATGTCGCAATGCTGAAAAATTGTGTTATTATTTGGATTATACGATGTTAGATTTCATTTTACGATGTTCAATTTGCACTTGACTCACGCTTTATGTATGTTTAACAGTGCGACTCGAGCGCATATTGTTTCTTGTCTACGCCGAAAGGAAAGAGGAGACGGAGCAGGGACAAAGCGAGCGATATACTTCGTATTTGAGCGATGAAAAGACGAGTGTTCTTTTTTCACATTCAAAGTATTCTGTTACCACACAATGTTCCAACACATTCAGCGATTTCTAGAAACTGTGACAAAAATATGATTTATGAACAGCCGGCAAAAAAAAGCGAACCTTTTCATTCAGCCGCTTTGATTGTCGCTTTTGATAAATTACAATCAATATATGTGTGTGTACAAAAACATTGAGACGAAAATAACCGAGATTTCAGGCAAAGAATTTTTTTATGTGACAAAAAATCCCACACATTCGCAAACATGCATACATCCATGGATGAGCAGCCAAGAAGTTTATGTTGATTACAGATAAGGATTACGTTATTTTCATCTAATTTAAAATTAAGTGTGAATCCTGTACAATCGAAGTATTTAATAAAATGGAATTGAGAACGCAAGGATTGTTTTTTTATGAAAAATTAATGACATTTATTTTCCGCAAATGTTGATGCTTTTGCTGCATTTGAAATTACAAACTCTTAAACCAAAACCATAAAGAAAAATAAAAAAGGACATGATGGTCCAACCGATCATAAATATTTTTAAAAACATATGCTTATTCGCTTCCAACATGTGGTTGACTCAAATTCTGTCTAAAGGACACAGAATAAGTGCGCCATCTAAATAAGATATAAATCTAAATAGCATATAAGCTAGAGAGTTTCATGATAGCATTGCGGCTGACAAAAACTTAAACAAACAAAGTCAACACAAATTCATTTGAAAAAAGACTTAATGATTGCCGGCGAGAAAAGCTGAGGGATAATCAGGAAGAATGCTCTGTAAAAAAAGCGTCCACAAATTGTTCAGCTCATGAACGAAATGAGAATCCAACATACGATGAAAAATTAGAGCAAACAAAGAAGATAGAAAACTGGAGCGAATAAAGTACAGTACCCACACGGAAGTGAATAATACGTTGAGCGGATGTATTTTGAATAAACAAAGGCGCCTTTTTTCCCTTTGAAAGCATTTGAGCTGTGAGCTTTCCTATGATAAGAAAAGGGGAAAGTCACTCCCCCTCTCGCTCTCTTTCTTTCAGTGAGTGTTTGTTTGTAGCGTTGTAAAAGTAGTAATTTTTCTCTTTGCATTCGGGATCAGCCATTCGAAAGTGTTTGAAATGAAGCGCTGATGTGGGAATACTTTATTCGAACGTTTAAACCAGCCATAACGGCTGAAATGGCAAAAAACATCCAAAACGATCAAGTGTTTAAAAGAGATTCTGTGTTGAAGTGTATGAAAAGACGGAACGACAAAAAAAACCAAACAAACAAAAAGAAGCTGTAAATAATACATATAAACATGATTAAATGGATACGAATCCATAGTAAAATGGCACATAAAAATAGAAACCATGCAACAACTTTCGTTACTTATGGATGAAATTCTGTTCGCATGAAGAAAGCGACGAATGATAACAGCCGTGAATGGGTGACATTAGTTCATGTGATATCTTCAGATATTTTTTTAAGAAAGCGAAGCGTGGGAATACGAATAAAACGTACAAAACAGGGTTGAAATGGTGAATGAACACATCGCTTGGCATTGTTCAGTTTGCAAAACAGATCCCACGGTAATAGAGACAACCGAGTCAAAAAATCAACTGTAATAAGAAGTGAAAAAAAAACACAAACTCACATAACAACGTTATTTAATTCGATTTCATTGCATACTTTCTATTTTCTATGCTATTCTTTGTCCGTACACAGTACTGTTTCAATGACATGATTTTTTTTCCTCACACAAAGTCGATCTATTTACGTTTGTTGTGTGTTTTCGCTCATATTGTGGCTGCTTGTTTGCTTGTGGTATAAATTGCTACTGCGGCCGTATTTCAAACGCTTCGGTGCTGTACTGTAAGTGCCCTCTTCAACGGAAATTCAAGTGGTTTTAAGAAAATACTAGCTCGATGGAGATAGAGGGAGAATGCGCGCGAGAAAAAAAAACATACTGTATTTGCATAACCACTAATCTCGTATTCAAATCCCAAAAGCATTTAAAATATATTTTTTTTCGTTCGCTCGACTTTTTTTGTCTATCGTTTTTATTTTGTTCTCAGCTTCTCTTTCACTCCTTTTCGTCTCTTTGCTGATTTTTTTTCTTCGCAAATATTGAATGTAGGACAACCCACCAAATAACCGTATCTTCAAACATTTTGGCAAATTTTTTCACACAAATACGAGGCAAATGTTTGTTATGTACATAAAGGAAAACGCTCAAAAATGGCACTCTCGCCAGAGATGAAGAAAAATAACGTGTTTATAGACGCTCCATGCAATCATCGGAATATGCACACATATTGCTAATGTATACAACGCTTTGAATTAGAGTTTTGAATTGTGCGAGAAAAAAAAACGAGAAAATAAATTCCACATGTGCGTAAAAGAGATATACTAGTGTCTCAAT